GGGAGAACCCTGGTTGTCCTGGACTCAGCAGTCAGGGAGAACTCTGGTTGTCCTGGGCATAATTCTATGAAAGACCTGGTAAGAATTCCTTTGAGACAAGACATTGGTCAGTGGTGATCTCAAGTATAGTTGTGACACTCCCATTCCAATTAAGGCCTATCTGACATCAACAGGAAATAAGGCTGATGCAGTGGGGCCAAATGAGTTTGGTAGAAAGTCATTTCAGAGCCCTGGCTGCCCTGGCCCATCCTCCACCCTTCCCGCAAGAATCCATTTCCCAGGGAAAAAGTGGTGGAGGTAAAATTTTTTAACTAAATTTCCAGACAGCAGAGGACAGTACAGAAGCCCACCTGCTTGACAGTTGTAGAACAGGCTCTACCAGGAAGTTGCCTGTTCAGCTCCAGTAGCCCAGCCTGAAGCTGCCTTTTGTGTACCTTGGATCAATGCTAAATGACCTGTCACAGTGATTTCCTCACTATGTCTGAGACATGGAGGGGTAGTCCCAAGAATCTTACCAAGGAGTGTTGACATTGTAGACATCACTCTTTCCCTCCTGTCCACTGGTGGACTAGAGTAGGGATGTGCATCAGTCCCACACCTCCTACTTTGCAATGGGTTATGGCCTYATGCTAGGTCAGAGTGAAAAAATGGGCTACTTTCTCTAGGACAAACCCTGACTCCAAGCCAACTCTAGGGTGCCAAGACCCTAGAGTTGGGCTGTGCAGTTGGAACAAGGGTTTGCTATATTTTTTTTTTTTGTGAGGAGGTTCTGGGGATCAAACCCAAGGCCTTGCCTATGCTAGGCAAGAACTCTGTTACAGAGCTACACCTTAAGCCCCAGAGTGTAGTTTTACTTTAAATTAGAGTCCCTTCACAGAGTCTCACCATATACCTGGCCATATACCTTCAGTTGATCCTGATTCTTTGATCTTCTTAGGGCCATATGCAGTGCTGAAATTACCCTAGGCAGGCAGTGAAGAAAAGCCAAATGATTCTACTTTTGCCATCTACACCCATAACATGCAGAACCAAATGGGTTCAGAGTACATGGGTTTAGTGACTGGGCCAAAGGTAGTCAGGTTTGTTTTTGTATTTTATTTAGAGACAGAGTCTTGATGAGTTGCTAAATTTGAACTTATGATCCTCCTGCCTCAGCCTCCCAATTTGCTGGCATTACAGGCATGTGCYACTGCGCCTGGAAGCAGTTTTTAAGAGCTGCTGCAGAGGCCATTTTTTATAGAAGCCCTGAGTTCCTCAAGGGCCTGTTTCCATGCTGGCCTTCTTTTAGGATGATCCTGTGGAATGGAAGATACCTAATCTTTCTCAGGCTGAGATTGAGCAGAAGATCAAGGAGTACAATGGGCAGATCAACAGCAACCTCTTCATGAGCCTGGTGAGTTGACTACTCAGACAGAGGAAGGGAGTCTGGACAAGGGCAGTTACCCAGCTATGTGCCTGATGCCCAAAGAATCATAGACAAGGTATTCTTGGGTGGGCCCAAGCAACAATTTATGCATACCCAGCTTAGCCCCAAGTGCATAGACAGAACCTTAGACTGTTCTGTCTTACTTGGAACTTATTGTCATGGTTGGTTTTTCTTTCTTTTCAGAACAAGGATGGCTCCTACACAGGCTTCATCAAGGTTCAGCTGAAGCTGGTCCGCCCTGTCTCAGTGCCCTCCAACAAGAAACCGACCTCCTTACAGGATGCCCGGAAGGGCCCAGGGCGGGGTACAGCTGTGAGGCGACGGACTTCCTTTTACCTACCCAAGGATGCTGTCAAACACCTTCATGTGCTGTCACGCACACGGGCACACGAGGTTATTGAAGCCCTGCTGCGCAAGTTCTTGGTGGTCGATGATCCTCGCAAGTTTGCACTCTTTGAACGGGCTGAGCGTCATGGCCAAGGTAGGCTTCCTACCCTGTCCTACCCTTTGTGAAGGTATGTATGCATATATCCATTACATGCAGGTGCTAAGGCTGCTAGGCCTGTCTATAATCATATATCCCTTTCCCCTTGCCTCGCTTTAAGTGTACTTGCGGAAACTGTCAGATGATGAGCAGCCCCTGCGTATACGACTTCTTGCGGGACCTAGTGAGAAGACCCTGAGCTTCATCCTAAAGGAGAATGACTCTGGGGAGGTGAATGTGAGTACACAGTCTTCCTTATTTTCTTGGTTGTCACTGGCTAGAGCTACAATAAGGCTTAGATGAAGAATCAGGCTGGAAAAAAAGCTCTACAAGGCCTAGGCTTATCCCAAGAAACCTGGAAGAATTTTCTTGGTGCTTTGTTTAATCCTCTGCAGGTTCAGGAGTCCAACTGACAGTATGGTGAGCCCAGACCAGATCAGAACTACATATATGGGCCTAGGACAGCATGGATGCTCTCCTTCAAGCATTAATATTAATAATGGTTGAGGGTATAGCTTAGTGATACAACATATTCTTAGCATGCACAAGGCCCAGGATTCTATCTCCAGCACTGGATTTATAGCCCAGTGAAGAGCATTTGCTTAGCATGCATTAGGCTCTGCATTTGATTCCTAGACCTGTTAATTAAAAAACAAAAGAAAAAAAATGACTTTTTAGAAGCTGTCTGACTACAAGGTATTGGGTCTATGGAGTAGTATTAGACTCAGAGTGTGAGTACAACCTGTCCACAGGAAACTGGGGAACATTCTATTTGGTTGCCTCTCAGTGAGGTGACTATTTTGTAGGATCCATCTTCTATACAGACTGTTGTCAGGAATCCTAGCATAGACTATTGAGGCATGAGCCAAATATTAGAAAACCCAATCCTGGCTTATGTGACCATGATATGTTGGTCTTCTCTGGGGATGGTCTTCCAGTTTGGCCATATATACTGCAGCCTATATACCTCCCCTCTGCTCCCTTGCAGTGGGATGCTTTCAGCATGCCTGAACTACACAACTTCCTACGCATCCTGCAGCGAGAGGAAGAAGAACACCTCCGCCAGATCCTGCAGAAGTACTCCCATTGCCGCCAGAAGATCCAAGAGGCCCTGCATGCCTGCCCCCTGGGGTGACCTCTCCTACCTCTGGGTGGCAGGAGGAGAGTAGGCAGTGCCAAGAGCGTGCCGTGTGAGTGTGACAGGGCCCATGGGGCCTGAGGAATGAGTGTGCATGGAAGCCCTCCCCCATTGGGGGAATGAGCCCAGAGAACAGCGAAGAAGCTGGCCCCCTGCATCCACCAGTGGGTGAAGCAGAGTATGGCTTTGCATCTCTTTGCCTTTCGTGTACTGGGTCACGGTGAGCCAGGAGTTCCCTGGGGAACTGCTCCAGGCTTGCAGCAGGGGTCGAGCAGAAAGAATCTCCTTAATTCATGTCTCAGATGTGATAATCTTGGAGACCCTACAAACAGAACAGGATCAGTTTGCAGGGTTGAGGACCCTCAACCTTGGGGAAGGTTGTGTTTTGGGTCTTGAATAGAGTTTCTGGATAACCCTATCAGAGCCATGGGTGGGTGCTCAGAATAAGGCAGGCATAAGATAGAGTCTAGGTTTCCTTCTAGTGCCTTCTGACTCCTCATACACCCTGAGGTCAGGGAGTGCTGGTATACAGTACAGCAACAGTGCCTCAGTGCCTCCTCCAAAGAGGATATCCGTGGGTCAGCCCAGGGTCTATGAATGTGGGCACTCTGCCAGCCCCATTCCTTATTTGCCAGGCAAAGCCAGGGTCTGTCTCAGATATTTTTGATGAAGTGTGTGAATGTATGTAGTGTTTTGTGGCCTCAAATGAATGCCTCCTGTGGGAAAAGGGATGGGGGTGACAGTCATCATCAGGGCCTGAGGCCTGAGAGAATTGGCTGAATAAAGATTTTAAGAATCCTGCTTTTGTATTCTCTTTTGTGGGCCTGCTGCCATGGTTGCCATGACAGCAGCTGCCAAGGTTGATGGACAGGCTTACAGGGCATCTTTTGCAAGGTCAGCATAGACCATGTAAAGATGTATACATATTTGGTGGCCTAAACTGCAGTGGAGTTGAAACTTCCCAGAGGGGCAAGGATAGACCAGCCCCAGCCACTGGGCCAACTTCCAATCATTCCAGGTAGAAAAGCTTTGCCCATAACACTCTGTGACAGCCTGTACCCAGGATGCTTCCCATACTGCCTGCCCAGGTACACTCTGTGGGCTGTGACAGCACCCAGAGGGGCCTGGGAGGTGGAGCTGCTGACAGGTGCAGGGACCTATTTGGTTGCAGCCTCTGCTCTAGAGACGTCTTATATAGGCTGTTATTTGTTATGAATACACATCCAGCCCTTATCCTGGGGTGGGGGGAGTGTGAATTGTTTCAGTCATCATTCAGCACATTGGGACCCAGGCAGTGATGGGGGCAAGAATAGGCTACAGCCAGAGTTTAGGGGAAGCCATTCTCTCAGCACACACCAACAACTGGGAGAAGTTGTTTTTATTCATCAGCTGCTATGGACTAGGCATGAAGGGTACAGCCATTTAGAATTCTTGTTTTCTTGAAGCATGCATTCAGGTTTAATTTGGAAAGAACATTGAAGTTTTAAATACCTCAGTGTAGCTATAAGACATTTTGGCCAGTTCCTTAATTGTCCTTGGGCTCCATTTCTTTACATATGATGGTAACCACCACAAAACACCATTGTGAAAATAGAAGGCAGACAAGTACCCCACAGCCTGGCCTGGGTCAGGTCCTAAAGTGCTGGTTCAAAGTGGTTGAGGAGGCCCCACTGGGCTTGAGTTCTGGAGATCTGGGACGTTGGAAATGCGGTACAAGGCAACCAGTCCGCCAAAGAAGCCAAGAGAACAGCGCTGTCACAGCTCTACTGGGAGGGAGCTGTCCCAGCTGGCGAGAGCGTGGCCTGCCGGGACCTGAGGTCTTGCAGGGCATGCTGGGATGCCCAGTATCTGAGGATAGCCATTGGCTCTGCCCCACGGACCGACGAGCGCTGCAGCCAATCAAAGAGGGCAGCGTGCGGAAGCGGAAGTGAGGTTTCCGTGGAGACAGAAGAGCCTGCGGAAGGCGGCGGCGGCGGCGGCRGCRGCGGCAGCACCTGCAAGCGGAGGCTGGGGCAGGGCATGATAGAGCCTGCTACACTGTGAGAACGCAGCGGCCGCGGGGTCCGCCATGCGCTGGCGGCCCTGACATGGGCGCCAGCGGCTCCAAAGCTCGGGGCCTTTGGCCCTTCACCTCTACGACAGGGGGCGGCGGCCCGGAGGCAGCGGGCAGTGAACAAGCTTTGGTGCGGCCTCGAGGCCGCCCGGTGCCCCCCTTCGTATTCACGCGCCGCGGGTAAGGGCGTGGGCTCTGCTTCTGGGAGGACAGGCAGGCGGCCAGGTACCCCACACCACCGAGACCTCCTGTCACCCGACCCCCTACACCCCAGTTAGGACGACTTCGGTCTTTCGGGTCCCCATCCAAGCAAAGGGTGGGGAAAATCGGGAGTAGACTCCTGGAGGCCTGGCTGCTCTAAAGGTCTCTCTAGGGAAGGGTACAAGATCTTAGGCTTGTCTCTGGGCAGGCACGCCCCACAGTAAAGCTAAGATAGGGCCTTTGTGATATCTCTTGACCTCTTCTGTGCATCTCTTCAAACTTAGCTTGCAAATTTAAGGCTTTTACCCTCCTCCTCTTCCCCCCAGTTCTTCCAATGGAAGAATAACTGATTAGGCCTTCATCCCTTCCCCCATAGTAGTAAGGTTGGACTTCTGAGTAGTGACTGGGAAAGCAGGGTAGGGCCCCAGTGTTGAGTATGAGGGGGCGAAGGGTGGACGGCAGGATCCTCACTCCTTTATATTCTCCAGATGTGGAGTGCTGAACTAAACCCCAGGTTCCCCACACAATAGCATCAGCATGACCTCATGTGGATGGGCACTCCCTATGATGGAGATTTGGCTGTAGATACCAGGAGATCCAACAGTGGAAATTTGACTGCACCAGCCACTTGAAGCGGGGATGCAGTCTTCCTCCTTTTAGGTTCCTTCCTAGATCAAAACATCTGCTCACAATCTTTGGCACTAGGCCAGTTGTCTTCTGGAGTGAAACCAACATGCCCATGCTACCACCCTGCCCACTCTCTAAGTCCTGGATGAAGGGACTGATATTGGAATGGCTGTTCTCACACAACAGATCAGTAATGGAAATTAACTTTGGTTGCCTGGATAGTATGCTGTGGTATGGGTTCTCTTCTTGAGGGTATAACAGAGTAACACTAGCCAATGTTCTGCTCCCCGGTTCCTTCTAGTAGACCGTAAACCTAAGCAAAAGGATTCTCCAGCTGTAGTGTCCTCTCTTCTTCCCACCAAGATTGTTCCTCCCCAGTTGGGGTTGGGTACACTTCCCTGTGATCTGTGGCATTTGCCATGACCAGGTGTGGGGCTCAAGCCCAGCCTGTTCTCTTCTTCCTCTACACAGCTCCATGTTCTATGACGAGGATGGGGATCTGGCTCATGAGTTCTACGAAGAGACAATCGTCACCAAGAATGGGCAGAAGCGGGCCAAACTGAGGCGGGTGCATAAGAATCTGATTCCT